TAGAGCCAAATTTGTAAAAAAAAAAAAATGGTAGAACCCTGCTCAAGAGCCTACTGGCCAAGGTTCAAAGAGCTGGACTTCTTATGAAATGAAACTAAGTCATGTGTTTCATCACCAAAGTCATAGCTGTGACAGACAAAGGCTTAGCTATAGCGTACTTCTCACATATGTTAAAATAAATGTTCATTGACTATTTAGACTACCTACTTGAATAATTCCTCCTAAAAATGAAACCGCTGCAGCAACTCCAATCCTCTGCATTTCAAACTCCGATAAACCTAAGACTCCCGAATTATTGCTTGTAGTGAAATTGTTGATTGCTGGAGAAACAAGACGTTCAACTGCATTGGCAGATATCAAGGAAGTTAAAGCAAAAGTTCCTGTAAAAGAAAAGTCACATATCAGTTACCAATAAGTACCTCAATATTTGTTAGAGTCACTAACATTAATTTTTCAAAGTACGGCCTCTATCCATGAATGTGAAACTTTGCACACTCACTCACTTCAGGTATGTTTTTTAAAGCACTTTCACTTGTTGGGTGCAAATTTCTAAGTGTAAGATGCCATATGAGCAGATAAACTGAGTGCGAATGTTTTTTTGTGTGCAAGTTCTCTTCTGTGTGCCCGAAAAATAATGGTGCTCAAAAAATGCACAAGCAAATAATATGCACACAGACAAACAGAGTTGAAACACTTTTGAAATTTTTAATCACATTCAGCTAAAGAAGGATAATTCAATATGTTAAAGGCATTAAAGCATCATGGAAAGCTTTGAACAACATCCTTTTTGGAAAAAGTTTTGCATACATTAGCTCCACCTGAAATCATAATTTCTATTTGTGATAACGTCACTAATTGCTGTACAGCTAATTATGGTATCCCAAATAAATTAGGTTCCTGAGTTCAAATGGAGAAAAAGCAGCCAGAATAAAGTTCAATTCTAACAATTTATTGCTCAGATGAGTAATCTTTTCCACAAGACTAGACTGAGTGACTATTTATGGGTAAGAATTAATCAAGTAGGCAAAAGTTTACAGGACCAGGCCACAGATGAACTCCACTTTTCATGCAAAAAGGTCCCAATCCTGCATCCTTTACTTAAAGAGAGTTTCACTGACTTCACAGAAGTTATTAGAGGGGACGGAGATTGTCACCTCTGAGTAAAGGATATATGAGGCATTGGCACCTGAGGAGCTGTAGTACACAGTTTAGCCGTGATTCAGGAAAGCATCCTTATTTGGGATGGGAATTAAGCATGTTTAACTTTAAACAATGAATCTTCAGCACATGCTTACGTGCTTTCCTGAATCAGGGCCTTTGGGATTATGGGATATGTGCAATAGCGGCATTCTTCTGTTGAAATGATTAAATGTGAACACAATGTATTTTCATGTTATAATATTTTCTTCACAACCACGAGGGACAGAAACATTTCTGAATGAAAGCTTAGATTGTGAAGCACAATTCTGTGGCAAGGGCTGGAGTCCAAAAGGTGGATTCTACAGCAAATCCAAAACCACAGAATTGTAGGATACAGGGCCTTGACTATACTCCACAAATCCTGGGCTGAATGACATTTGCTCCATTTCACCCCATGGATACCGTGTCAGTCCTGAAGTCCTGCCCTTTGTCCATTTCACCACCTTCAAAACGAGAGTTTATTACCACAAGATATTTTTCTGCATATTAAGGGTGCAATGTAAGATGATGAGTGAGGTACCTTTTTCCTTTAGTGAGCTTTAGTTTAAAAATCAACTGTTCATGGAGAAATTTGTAAACATTGTCTATTTTGAAACAGTTTTCCTCATATTTTCACCTTTTTTAATGAAAAAGGGAAATACTAATGAGAGAAGACAAATAAAGGAACTATAAGGCTATATAGCAACCTACTTTACCCTAGCTCCTGCCACAGAATTATTCTCCAAAATCTAAGCTTTCATTTAAAAGAAAGTTTCTCACTCTCCTGTCAAGTGAGTATACTGATCATTTTAGCAGAACCATCCATCTAATGTACATGTCCCACAATCCCAAACTGCCTCCTCAGGTATCAAAGGCCCCAGAGACTTCCTCCCTGACAATTTCTGTGTGCATAACACAAGAGATACTGTAACAATGGTGTTATTCATGTGAATAGTTCATTGATTAAAACAACTTTTTTTTTCAAAAATAAGCTTCTGCAGAATTTCTAGTTTGCTACATCAGAGCAACAAAACCCAAGGACCTTGACACAGAATTCATGTCCTGTTTGCTGTAAATTATCTGGAGGTTTGACAATATAACATACATATGTTGGGATACAAATTTTATGTACTTCGGAATGTACATTGGTTTCCCAGTAGACCACACAGCTCTTATGGAGCTGTTAACAGTATTACTAAACACAGATTTTGGCACACATATCAATTTCAAAACCATGTAGTTATTCAAAAGACAGTGTTTGCTTCTTAGAAAACATATTAGCCAGAGGAGAGATGTATGCAGTTGAGCTATGTGAGCCCTGCTGGGTGTGCTTTGTGTGTGGTTGCTAGGGCGACCAGATGTCCCGATATTATAGGGACAGTCCCGATTTTAGGGTCTTTTTCTTATATAGGCTCCTATTACCCCCCACCCCCTGTCCCAATTTTTCACATTTGCTGTGTGGTCACCCTAGTGATTGCCAATGGTTCCAAATTTCCAAGAACTATCTCCCCTCCTCTCAAAAGGCTCCCACAGCCACTCCCCTTCCCCTAAGGTTACCCCTTTCAGATACCCCTTTCACATTTTAGCTTTGGTTGACTGGGGAGAGGGGCTACTGCCCTGCATTCAAGCTCATTGTACTCGCCTACTGGAACCAAGTGCCTGTCTCTATACTTCCCCTGGTCTTCAAGGGTCACTGGGAGGCCACTATTCCCACAGAGCAGTTTCTTGATGGTCCAACCTGATGAATACAATTCCCTTCCCCAGTTCATAACAGGCTTTCTTAGGGAACAAAGCAGTCAATAATCTAGCAGGAGCTCGGAAACACTTCTTGCCCCTGTGGATAGCTCTGCTCAAAGCAGTGGTGAGGAAGCCACATAATCACTAGCATGGCAGCTAGGGAACTCCTAGTGGCTCCTTAGCTTCTACAGTGGAAGCGATGGGGCATCTGCACCCTTCAGCTCAACAGATGCAGCTGATCAGGAGTAATCCCAATTCTACTGAAGTATTTGGAGTAGGGAGGGGGTATTTTTTGGTGAGAAGTACTGAGGTTGTGTTTAGCAATGTGAGAAAATAATGAGGTTTTTCTATAGTTTAGGAACAGTCAACTTTTAGTTGTTCCCGTTTATATTTAAAAAGGCTTTCTTTAGCTGAGCTCTTGTCTGTTAAAGTTTTAGCTTCAAGCAAATTTATATAATAAATTGCATAAGCCCCTGATAAGCTGTATTTATAAAGGAAATATGGATGTAGTATTCAATTATAGTGGTAGGAATGGCTCCAGTATAATCTTAACAAGTCTTTTTTTCCCCCTTGAAAACACTTTTCTTAAGCAGAAAAAGATGTAGCTGTAAAGAAAAGGCACAAAGAAATGTAAACAGGTTAATCTGTTTTAAGACACTTCCCTCTTGCTCTCCCCCACAACTGATCCTGTGACGCTTAGTACCTTTAACTTGCACTGAGATCACCAGTTACAGAGGAAACTCCTCATTTCACAGAACACACTCAGCAACTTGGAGGATGGGAGCCTAAACATTTCTAGACACTTACCCGTTGCAACATGGCGTCCCATTCCAAACACAGCATAAATGACGACAGGAAAGAGAGAGCCATATAAACCAAACACTGGATGGACTGAAGACAGAACAGCAAAGGCCAGCCCTATAGGGAAGGATAATGGGAATTAGTAAACAATACATTAAGAATATAAGAACGGCCATACTGGGTCAGACCAAAGGTCCATCAAGCCCAGTATCCTGTCCTCTGACAGTGGCCAATGGCAGGTGCCCCAAAGGGAATGAACAGACAGGTTATCATCAAGTGATCCATGCCCTGTCACCCAATCTCAGCTTTTGGCTAACAGAGGCTAGAGACACCATTCCTGCCCATCCTGGCTAATAGCCATTGATGGACCTATCTTCCATGAATCTATCTAGCTCTCTTTTGAACCCTGTTATAGTATTGGCCTTCACAACACCCTCTGGCAAGGAGTTCCAGAGGCTGACAGGGCATTGCGTGAAAAAATACTTTCTTGTGTTTGTTTTAAACCTGCTACCTATTAATTTCATTTGGTGGCCCCTTGTTCTTGTATTATGAGAAGGAGTAAATAACACTTCCTTATTTACTTTCTCTATACCACGCATGATTTTATAGACCTCTATCATATCCTCCTTTAGTCACCTCTTTTCCAAGCTGAAAAGTCCCAGTCTTATTAATCTCTCCTCATATGGAAGCCGTTCTATACCCCTAATCATTTTTGTTGCCCTTTTCTGAACCTTTTCCAATTCCAATATATTTTTTTTGAGATGGGGAGACCACATCTGCACTCAGTATTCAAGGTGTGGGCATACCATGGATTTATATAGAGGCAATATGATATTTTCCGTCTTATTATCTATCCCTTTCTTGATGATTCCCAACATTCTGTTCGCTTTTTTGACTGCCGCTGCACATTGAGTGGATGATTTCAGAGAACTATCCACAATGACTCCAAGATCTCTTTCTTGAGTGGTAACAGCTAATTTAGACCCCATCATATATGTATAGTTAGGATTATGTTTTCCAATGTGCATTACTTTGCATTTATCAACATTAAATTTCATCTGACATTTTGTTACCCAGTCACCCAATTTTGTGAGATCCTTCTGTAGCTCTTCGCAGTCTGCCTGGGACTTAACAATCTTGAGTAATTTTGTATCATCTGCAAATTTTGCCACCTCACTGTTTATCCCTTTTTACAGATCGTTTATGAATATGTAAAATTGGACTTGACCCAGTACAGATCCCTGGGGGACACCACTATTTACCTCTCTCCATTCTGAAAACTGACCATTTATTCCTACCCTTTGTTTCCTATCTTTTAACAATTACCAATCCATGAGAGAACCAATCCACCTTCCCTCTTATTCCATGGCTGCTTGTCTTGCTTAAGAGCCTTTGGTGAGGGGCCTTGTCAAAGGCTTTCTGAAAATCTAAATACACTATATCCACTGGATCTCCTTTGTCCACATGCTTGTTGACCCCCTCAAAGAATTCTAGTAGATTGGTGAGGCATGATTTCCCTCTACAAAAACCAGGTTGACTATTTCCCAACAAATTATGTTCATCTATGTGTCTGACAATTTTGTTCTTTACGATAGTTTCAACCAATTTGCCGTTACTGAAGTGAGGCTTACTGGCCTGTAGTTGCCAGGGTCACCTCTGGAGCCCCTTTTAAAAATTGGCGTCACATTAGCTATCCGCCAGTCATTTGGTACAGAAGCTGATTTAAATGATAGGTTACAGATGACAGTTAGTAGTCCTGCAATTTCACATTTGAATTCCTTCAGAACTCTTGGGTGAATACCATCAGGTCCTGGAGACTTATTACTGTTTAGTTTATCAATTTGTTCCAAAACCTCCTCTAATGACACCTCAATTTGGGACAGTTCCTCAGATCTGTCACCCAAAAAGGATGGCTCAGGTTTGGGAATCTCCCTCACATCCTCAACAGTGAAGACCAATGCAAAGAATTCATTTAGTTTCTCCATAATGGCCTTATCGTCTTTGAGTGCTCCTTTAGCATCTCGATCATCCAGTGGTCCTACTGGTTGGTTAGCAGGCTTTCTGCTTCTGATGTATTTTTAAAAAAATTGCTATTACTTTTGGAGTCTTTGGCTAGCAGTTCTTCAAATTCTTTTTTGGTCTTTCTAATTATATTTCTACACTTCATTTGCCAGAGTTTATGATCTTTTCTATTTTCCTCATTAGGATTTATTTTCCACTTTTTAAAGGATGCTTTTTTGCCTCTCACTGCTTCTTTTACTTTGTTGTTTAACCACGGTGGCTCTTTTTTGGTTCTCTTACTATGTTTTTTTAATTGGGGTATACATTTAAGTTGAGCCTCAATTATGGTGTCTTTAAAAAGTTTCCAAGCAGCTTACAAGGATTTTACTTTTGGTACTGTACCTTTTAAGTTCTGTTTCACTAACCTCCTCATTTTTGTGTAGTTCCCCTTTCTGAAATTAAATGCTACAGTGTTGGGCCGCTGTGGCGTTTTCCCCGCCACAGGGATGTTAAATTTAATTATATTATGGTCACTATTACCAAGCGATCCAGCTATATTCACCTCTTGGACCTGATCTTGTGCTCCACTTAGGACTAAATCAAGAATTGCCTCTCCTCTTGTGGGTTCCAGGAATAGCTGCTCCAAGAAGCAGTCATTTAAGGTATCAAGAAATTTTATCTCAGCATCCCTTCCTGAGGTGACATGTATCCAGTCAATATGGGTTATAGTTGAAATCCCCCATTATTTTTATTGAGTGTTTTTATTTTAATAGCCTCTCTAGCCTCCCTGAGAATTTCAGAGTCACTAACACCATCCTGGTCAGGTGGTCTGTAATATAGCCTTACTGCTATATTCTTATTTTTCAAGCATGGAATTGCTATCCACAGAGATTCTATAGTATAAATTTAGTTCATTTAAGATTTTTACTTCATTTGATTCTATGCTTTCTTTTGCATATAGTGCCACGCCCCCACCAGCATGAACTGTTCTGTCCTTCCAATATATTTTGTACCCTGGTATTACTGTGTCCCATTGATTATCCTCATTCCACCAGGTTTGTGTGATGCCTATTATATCAATATCGTCATTTAATACTAGGCACTCTAGTTCTCCCATCTTATTATTTAGGCTTCTAGCATTGGTATATAAGCATTTTAATCCTTTGCACCAAGATATCAAATTACTTTACATTTGGTTTTGTTGGGGGTAAAGTCCACAGTTTTAACAGCAGGATTAAAACTACCTGCAATGATAATTACATCTATAAAAAGCTAAGCCATAAACCAACCACTAAGGCTACATCTACACTACGGGGGGGGGTCAATTTAAGATACGCAAATTCAGCTACGCAAGTAGCGTAGCTGAATTCGACGTATCGCAGCCGACTTACCCCGCTGTACGGACGGCGGCAAAATCAACCTCTGCGGCTTCCTGTCGACGGCGCTTACTCCCACCTCCGCTGGTGGAGTAAGAGTGTCGATTTGGGGATCGATTGTCGCATCCCAACGGGACGCAATAAATCGATCCCCGAGAGGTCGATTTCTACCCGCCAATTCAGGCGGGTAGTGTAGACCCAGCCTAAGCAATGGGGTTTGGAGGAATCTTCTGTTGTGGGTGGATTTTTCCATAATTATCTATTAATAATACCTAGTTCTTATATAGCAGTTTTCATCCATAGATCTCAAAGCACTTTACAAAGGAGTTCAGTATTATTATCCCCATTTTACAGATAGGGAAATGGAGGCACAGAGAAGGGACATAACTTGTCCAAGGTCACTAAGTAGGCCAGCAGCAGAGCTGGGAATGCAATCCATGTCTCCTGAGTCCTCATCCAGCACCTTCCTCTAAGGCATCTGGGATTAGTCACTGGCAGAGATAGGATACTGGACTATATAGACCATTGATCTCATATGGCAATTCCTATGTCTATGTTGGGGACAGCGGGACAGGATACTCAGCCCAAAGTCTACAGAAAAGAGAAGGCACAAGGTGAAAAGAAACACACCAGAAACTCCAGAAGAGGCAGAAGGAGAGGAACGCTTGCCCTGCCTAAAGGGGCAGGCAGGAAGAAGAGGGGAGCATGGGAAAGGAGGAGAGGACTACGTAAGTCTGATCTATGCAGCACAATTATTTCAATGGGGGGGGGTGATTTTTTATATCAAGATAGTTATACCAGTACAACTCCTACTGCGAATGCAGTTCTGCTGGTATAAAGGTGCTTTATGCAGGTATTGCTTATCCCCTTTCCTGTTTGGGAATTAGCTATACCAGTATAACTTCATCCACTCTAGGGGAGTTGTACTGGTTAAACTAGACCACTACAGTCAAAGTGGTACAACTTTTATGTGTAGATAAATTCCGAGGAAATAGACATATGACCCCTTACTGAATGGCTAGAGCCAGGGGTCCATTTTCTAAGCAGTGTGTGTGAAATGGGTCCATAAATCCTAGCTAAGGTGCAAAACTTCGTACGTTTAAGATCCAATATCATTAAACAGTATGCACGTGCAAACTAGACAATTACAAATACAGAACATTTACATTTAAAAACAAAATAGTAACACTTCAGTGAATGGAGTGCACACTGTGAACTGCTTTGATAACCTCAACACTGCTCTACAGAATTTAGTTCTCGTGTATTGTTTTCGGTGTCTGTGATAAGTTCCTTCCTGCAGGGGAAGTACAGAACGTGGCCTGTTATTTAAATCATAATAATTTTCAAATATACATTTTAATGTATATAGTCAGGTGGGGGTAGTCTTTGTATTGTTTTTTAGTCTGCACTTACAGATTTGGGATGTTAACCAGTTTTAAGATTAAATAAAGTGTGTGCAGTTTACCTTTAATAGGTGTTCACATGCTTAAATTAATAGATTTTAATTACTCAGTTCAAAAGGAATTAACTGAGGAATTGTAATGGCTAGTGGAGAGTATTGTAATGACTCTCAAGCTAAGTTAAGAAATTTCCTGCTGTAGGACGTTTACATATTTGCTACTCACAGCTACTAATCAATATGGGATTAAATACAGTATTACTTTGTTTCCTCTTAGCTCTAATGGGGGAAATGAGGCTTAAACTACTGGGAAGTAAGCTGTCACTATCTAGTTATAAATG